TGGGGTTACGGATTACCCTAAACCCTAAACCCTAAACCCCTAAACCCTAAATTTAGAGGCTGGGGATTGGGGTTTGGGGTTTGGTGCTTTGGGTTAGAGTTTACGTGCTTTGGACTTCCCGATGCAAGCTGAACCCTAACTCAACCGAAACTTAGTACCGACGGCAGCCATGCTTGCTTGTTACAAGTCTTACTCCTACCCCGACAACATGCGCACAAAGCTTTTATCGTTTTAAAAGGGCTCGGCGAATATCCTATATCATGACTAAGGGCCTCTAGCTAGGGGGATACTCTGTTCCTAGTGTTGCAGTCTTCTACATGCTGGAAAACCCTAAACCCTAAACCCTAAGGTGCGGAAAAGATTGCCCTGCCTGCTTGTCGTTGCCACCACCGATGCGGAAGATGTAACCCTGGAGCGGGGCGGGACTGCTAGGGTTCAGGGTGTGTCGGTCTTAGGTCTTGGCCCCTAAACCCTAAACCCTAAGCGCTAAGGCCCAAACCTTAAGCCCTAAACTCTGAACCCTAAAACCTTAAAGGTTTCAGGCCGTAGGATGTGGGGGTGAGGATCTGAGGGACGTAGACTGTTTCAGGCTTTAGGGGTCTGGAGGGAGAGTTGAGGTGTTAGGATTTATGAGGGTTTAGGGTTCATGGTTTAGGGTTCAAGGTTTAGGATTCCTCAAGCCTTAAGCTTTAGACGGCATGCAATCGGTTTCCCAAAACACCGTAGAAAGCCTCACCTAAAGGGTCTTAGGTAGTGTTATGGGAGATACTTTCCCAAATCATAATCAGGATTCCTGATATAGAAACCTTACCTTATACCATAGAAACCCTACACTCTAGCATAAAAAAACCCACGTTCTAATATAGAAACCCTGCGTTCTACTACATAGGGACTTTGGCTCCTCTCACAATCTCGACCGCCGCATCCAACCCGAAGGCCAGCCCCAGAACACCTAAAGCCCAAACCACCAAAAGCAACAGAACGAAGGCCAAGCCCTACACCTTGGACCCCGAAACTCCAAATCCTAAGCCATAGAGGCCAAAGCCCTCCAGCCCCGAAGCCCGCAAATCGAGACATATTCCAGGAAAACAAACAGAAATGAGTCAGACTTTAGGAGCTTGAACAAGGCATCATGTACTATACCATAACCATGGTAGACAAAAAGTAGTAATCACTACGAAAGGCTACTATTACTAGTCAATCAGTGCATTACACCTATTCCCTGATAGACATCTCAGGTGTAGAATATTTGACAGGCACCCTCGAATGCACTTCACCCGTAATCAAACCCTAAATGAGAGAGCCTGATTGACACCCTTCAACATGCTAAACCACTCCACCAATCACAGTAAAAAAACTGAATAGAACTAGCAACAACTAAAGGAATAAGCTCTATCTTAATCCAAGACTGCAAACTCTGAACCCCTAAACCCTAAACTCCTCAACCCTGAACCCTATAATTAGGCCCTATAAACCCTTAACCCTGAACCCTACACCCTGAACTCCTACAAACCCCCCAAATCCCGAAACTCCTCAACCCTGAACCCTTATAGGCCCTATAAACCCTCAACCCTGAACCCTAAACCCTAAACCCTCTTGCCCTATAAACCCTCAACCCTGAACCCTAAACCCTACACCCTTTTGCCCTATAAACCCTCAACCCTGAACCCTGAACCCTAAACCCTAAACCCTTTTGGCCCTATAAACCCTAAACCCTGAACCCCACGCCCTGAACTCCTACAAACCCCCCAAAATCCCGAAACTCCTCAACCCTGAACCCTTATAGGCCCTATAAACCCTCAACCCTGAACCCTGAACCCTAAACCCTAAACCCTTTTGGCCAAAAAAACCCTGAACCCTGAACCCTAAACCCTTTTGGCCCTATAAACCCTAAACCCTGCACCCTACGCCCTGAACTCCTACAAACCGTTTAGGGTACTAAAGAAGGGACCCTTAAAGGGACCCTTGGGGTTCGGGTTTAGGGTTTAGGGTTTAGGGTTTAGGGTTTAGGGTTTAGGGTTAGGTGGGGAGTTTAGGGTATATAGGGATTCCATAAGGCTTAGATAAGGTACATAGACCTTCTATAAGGCTCCTATAACGGTAACTACCCACCTGAAAATGTCCTAGACTGAACACAAGAAAACACCTAGACCCCTAAGCTCCTAAACCCTCAAGTTGCCCTAAACCCTACACCCTGAACCCCAAACCCTAAACCCTGAACCCCTGTTAAACTCCTACCCCCCCTCCTAAAAAAACGTTGTTTTTTTTTATCAAACCCCTATAAACCCTTAAACTCCCAAACTCCTTAAATCCCCCAACTCCTCAACCCCTAAACTCCTGCGCTCCCCCTAAAGCCCCCCCAAAAAAGTACCCTAAACCCTAAAGTTTGGGTTTAAAACCCTAAACTCCCCTACAAACCCCCAAAAAAGTCTCCAAGGCCTTGAAATCGTCACCCAAGGAATCGCCCGATACCTGGCTTCAGCAGGGTTCCGGGCCTTTAGGGTTTAGGGTTTAGGGTTAAGGGTTGGGGGAAAAAGGGTTAGGGTTTAGGGTTGGGGGTTATCGGGTTTAGGGTTGGGGGGTTATAGGGTTTAGGGTTGTTCAGGCTTCGTGGGGATTTATAGGGTCGTTGAGAGAGTGTTTGACGGGGCTTTGCAGGTTTTTGGTAATCCCTAAACCCTAAACCCTAAACCCTAAACCCTAAACCTTGTTGCTAGTTTTCGAGAGGGTTTCAGAGGCTTTAGAGGCCTGAGGGCTGCTAGGATTCGGGGTTTAGGGCTACGGGTATAGCTTGTGAGGTTCCAGGCTGTGTTGCGCATCTTCAAGTGTAGAATGAGCTTTAAACCTTAAACCCTAAGACCCAAAAGCCCAGACTGATTTTTAGGGCTGGGGTCTTTTGGCTTTACGCATATAGGCTTCCCTAAGCTTGAGGGGTTATCCTAGGGTTCCCTAAGCTTTGGGGTTTACAAGCCCCATGGCTGGAAAGCCCCCCAGACTTGTAAATGTTTACGTCGGACTACATTTCGGTTTAGGCTTCACGGCTTACCTTAAGCCACAGAATGACCTATATACCTTTTCAAGGACTGATATAAAGAAATCAGAATAAGGAACCCTAAAAAAGGTAGGTTCTTTAGGGTCCAAGTAGAGATTACGGCGATTGAGGTCTGAGAAACAGGCTTGTAGGATGTTCAGGCTCGTGATGATTGGACTGGTCAAAGGGTTTGAACTTGGATAAAGACCTATAGGCTCCATTGTAGCTCCTTTTGTGTTGTATATTTAGGATCCTATACAATAATCCCAAAAAGGAACGACTATGGAGCCTATGCGTAGCTCGAAATATTGCAGTAAATACAACACGCGTAATGTGCATATCATTCATCTACGAGCCAACTCGATCTTAAATCAGTTATGGGCTGGCACATCTACTGTAGGTCATCTACAAGACTGTGTCCCTAAACCCGAAACTCCAAGCCCAACCCCTTTTTGCCCTAAAAATCTAAACCCTAAACTCTGAAAGCTAAACCCTAAACCCTAAAAAGCAAAACCTTAAACCCCAAAAAGCTAAACCCAAGGCCCTAAACCCTCACAAGCTAAACCCTAGACTAAAAAAAGCTAAACCCTGAAAAGCCAAACCAAAAGTCCTAAACCCTAAAAAGCCGCGAGTTGGGTCCCCTTGCCTCGGCAGACATGCGCTTGTCGTAGAGCGGGTACAGCTTCTTGTCATCGTCGATCTCGATCATCCTTGGAAAGGGCTGTATGTAGGGGCCTTACTTGGTTTAGGTTTTAGGGTTTAGGGTTTAAGGGCCTGAACAATTAGGAGCCCCCAAAATAGTATAGGTACTGAGGCCCCTATATGAGGGTTTAAGGTTTAGGGCTCTTTGCAGGGTCCAAACGGGTTCCAAAAAGGGTTTGCTACAGGAGTACTAAATGAGCAGAGCCTTGGGGACCTCTACTTGGACCACTTGAGCCTTTACTTTAAGGAAATTGAATACTTAGAATAGTAGGGTTCTATAAGTGTTTCGGGCTTAGGGCTTTGGGCTTGGAGTTTAGGGTTTTCGGTTTACGGCGTGATGATGATAAAGGGGCCCGAGTAGTTGGAACGAGGTTTTGGGGTATTCTACCGCAGTCAAACTTTGTGGAGAAGAAGGGGATGCCAGTTCGAATTATTCAGATGTCCCATAATATTACCATCGTCTTTTCTTCGTGAGCAACCTGGCAACCTCCTGTCTGTCGACATAGGAACTGTGAGTAATGTAGTTGCCTGCTTAAGGGGCTATCGAGGCTGCATGGCCTATGCAATGCTGTACAACCAGAGGGCACCAAGACCGCTCCAAAACTTGCATCCGGAAAGCAGACCCTACATCACAAGGGCACAGCGAGCAACACGAAGACCCACCAGAAGACCTCAACCCAAAGCCAACAGCAATGACCACCTCTGAAACATTGGACATCTGCGAAGTTGAAACATGAGATCAGCCTGCGTGCCAGCAAGGGTTCGGCTGGCAGCTACTTCCGATATCAATGGACTTTCATCGGTCAGTTAGAAACACTAACTTCTTCAGGTTCCTTAGTGTAACTATCCTGTAATGTACCCCGGCATCCTAGTCTACTGGTTAGTAAAGGCTAGGCCCCTACATTCGGGCTGTCTGCGTTCAAGTTTGGCACGATGCCCGGGGTTTCAGCCCAAACGACGAAAGGCCCACAAACACAAGACCCAGTTTGACAAAACACTACTATGGAATCGGAATAGTTGCTGATCCTATTCCTTCGGGCTCTAAAATAGAAGTACTGTCCCTATAAACCCTAAACCCCAAAGCCAGACTTTATAAGGCACCTATATGCGACTTTTGGACGTTATAGGGTTTAGGGTTAGACACCTCTATGTTTATTTATGTATTTAATTATAGTTACACACATATACGTCCATATTATATTATATTCTATATATATATATATAATCGAGCTTTGCAGCGCCATTTTTTGTGCAGTCAGCTCCGAGTCTAGTCGAGGAAGGCCGCAGAACCGTCGCAATCCTTCGTAATGCTCACACTGATGACGTGGAGCTCCTGATTCATGAAGTTGCTTGAGCCCCAGGTTTTCAGACCATCGTGATGATTGCATACGGTCTCTTCAATGAACCTGGACGCGGAGTCTGCGGTGAGAATCCCCTCTATGTCGTCGCATGTCCCGTTGTGCTTCAAGTAGAGGCCTACGTACCAAGGTCTCTCACTGGCGAAGGTCCCTTCCGGATAGTATCTCAGCCAAAACGTGCCTGACAGAGTCGGGCTGCGGGGGAAGAGGTTGAACTTGGGGCTCTCCACAAAGTGGTCGCGGGCCACGCCTGAGAAGTCTTCACCGGAGATGTTCCACACGAAATAGCCTGGGTGCGCCGGGTGCCTCAAATGCTCAATCTCATCACGCAACTGGTGGATCGTCGAATTCTGTCGCTTGATGGTCTCGAGGTGGGAGTTCGTGGCTGTGACAATTAGTTCGGCAGATGGCTGTTTCAAAAAATCGATGGTTGCGGCCTGCTGCTGATCTATTCCAGATTTCTGTTGAGCACTTTGCTGATCGATTTCGGACTTCCGTTGCGCACTGTGCTCATCGATTTCGGATTTCTGCTGCGCACTGTGCTCATCGATTTCGGATTTCCGTTGTGCACTGTGCTCATCGATCTTGGATTTCTGCTCGGTCGCATACTGGTCCAGAGCTGCGATCACTCCGGTTGCATCGACCGCGGCCGGCTCGCCCGTCTCATCGACCGCGGCCAGCTCGTCCTCGCCCGTCTCATTGTCGTCAGGGGCAAACACAGCCCAATCCTGGTTTTACGTGCTACAGTGCAGTGCAAACATTCCTGTATACTAGATGCAGAAGACCTTTTCACCCTAACATTAAAAGGGGGGCCCTCAAACAAACAACTCAAGAGTCGATCTCACTACTAGTGTGCTTCTTATCCCTACTGCAGCGATCTCGTTCTTGCTCCTGCTCTGGCTCTTGCTGTTGCTCCTGCTTCTGCTGCGGCTCTTGCTCCTGCTCTTGCCCTTGCTCTAGCTTCTGCTCTTGCCGTTGCTCCTGCACGTGCCGTTGCTTCTGCTCTTGCTCCTGCCCTTGCTCCTGCTCCTGCTCTCGCTGTTGCTCTTGCTCCTGCTGTTGCTCTTGATCTTGCTCCGGACAGCTGAGTCGAATTGGGCTTTAAAACGGTCTTGATTACGAGGGGTGCGTTTCACAGAAGGAAGTGCTTAGGGACTATTAAAAGATGTCTTCTCCTCTAAACTCCCCCAACTCACTAGCCATAACACAGGATCCCACAATTCGTCTCTCCACGGGGCAATAGGGTTTAGGCTTTGTAGGGTTCAGGGTAACTTTTAGCATTGGATCATAAACAGAGGCCCGAGTTTGCTGTAGTCTAATGCGCCCTGTATGAACCCTTGTGTGTGAATTTGCCAAGTGGCCTTTCATAACCCCCTTTTAATTAGGGTCCCTTACGTACTAGTAGAAGAACTCTGACACGGTCAGACGGAAAGAACGGCCTGAGCGCCCAAGTCCTCAATGCCGTGGCGAGCTTCCTGCGAGGGGCTGGGTTAATTAAGGGGTGTGGCAATCGAACCAGGGCACCGCTGCGACTGCTACGACGGTTCTGCTGCTGCTACGACTACTACTACTACTACTACTACGACGACGACTACTCCCAGTACTGGTACTACTACTACTACTACTACTACTACTACTACTAGTGCTACTACTACTACTACTACTACTACTACTGCTGCGGCTGCTACTACTACTACTACTACTGCTCCTGCTGCTGCTACTACTACTACTACTACTGCTACTACTGCTACTACTACTACTACTACTACTACTACTGCTGCTACTACTGCTTCTACTGCTGCTACTACTACTACTACTACTACTACTACTACTACTGCTACGACGGAGCTGCTGCTACTACTACTTCTTCTACTCCTACTACTATCACTACTACTACTGTTGGTGGAGGAAATCTTGCACCACTTTAAGTGGCCGAGCAAAGC